GGACAGATAGAATGTAGGAAGGAAGTCTTGTTCAGAAAGCTTGTAACCTGGCCCTGCGTCCATCAGGAGAGACTTGTCCCATAACCAGATGTTGATTTGAAAGGATTTGTGGTGCATGATTCCAACATGGAGGCACAGAACCTCAGAAATGTGGACAGGTCCATGGGAATTCAGAATAGGTTACATGAACAATTTGGGACCTGCTTCAATAACAATTATCCTACACAATAAAAGGCTAATATACAAATTGTCCCCTTGACCGGGAGTTTGACCAGCCTGCCAACTGCCTGCAGCCCCTCCCCCCGGCCCCACCCCAATCGGCCCCACCCACCTCTATTGGGGCAGGCTGGCCGGACCTTACCTGTGCACAAATTCGTGCACCGGGCCTCTAGTTTGGTTAATAAACCTCATAAGAGAATCTGGTTTGAGATGTGCTTTGATTATTCCCTGATAGTGACATTATGCGGGAGTGGCAACCCTCACTACCTCAAACTTAGTAGCTTCCATTATTTACCCAAAAGGTCTTAAGAATCAAGCATATCCAAACCAGCTTGGGTCAAATTTTAAATGGTCTTATTTTAAATGTTTCCCATCCTCCCAGGCTCTGTATATCTCTCTATTTCTGTGTTATTTTTGTCCATGACCTATACTCAACATCTAACATGCTATATATGTTACTTTTTTTGTGTTTGTTGTCTGTCCCTACCTGCAGATGATGTAAACTCCATGAGGGCAAGGTTTTTCATCTTTTCTTGTCTGTTTTGTTCATGACCATAACCCAGTGTAAATAACAGTGCTTGGTATAATAACAATGCCTGGATGTCTGTTTAATAAATGAATAAAAAAAGATAAGGGAGTACTTCGAGAGAATAGACAAAATGATGACAGAGTTCAAAAGGAAGAGGATTATTTTGGGCCGGAAAATCAAGGAAACATGAATTTGATTGTGCCATGGAACAAGGAGAACCAGTGTAGTCTAAATGCATAGACATGAATTTATTGCCTGCCAGGGAAGGAGAATCGCATCGTTTAAGAAAGGTCAGTGAGTCTCCGTGAACTGAAAGTGAAAGGGACAGAGCTAATGTGGAAAAGTTTTGTCTAAATTTCCAACTGATTCAAAAGTGAAGTTTGAAGTCTCCCTTGAGATGGGTTATTATTCTGGTTTTGCATCACTCGGACATGGGGCAATTCTCAAGCAGATCCAGGATGGGTTGCCTAAGGGCCTGCTGGGAGTGAGCTGGGGATTGCACAGAGGGCACATTCACATGTGCACGCTCAAAGCTTGGTGGGATCTTTCTCAGACTGTCTCAGGAGACCCAGGAGCAGGGCATTTGGGGCAGAGAGAACAGAGTGAGCGGAAGCACTCAGGAAAGAAAAGAGAGCTGATCTGGGGAAGACACAGACCAAAGGGTGATTGCAGACGAAGGGTCAGAGATGTTGGGGGAGGAGGTAGAGATTCCACTGTGGAGCCCTTGAATGTGGCCGCCAATAGAGTCATCAAACATTTGTAATCAGAAAATATGCCCAGCTGTGTTTAAGACAATCGATCCAGCAGCAGCGTGTAGCAAGAAGAGGCAGGGGTCAAGTTAGGAGGCTGGTGTAATATCCAGGTGAGAGGTAGTAAAAGCAGAAAGACTAGAGCAGGCTGTCAGGGAGGTGGTCAAAGAAGAGGGCATGAGAAGTCACAGACAGCTCTAGGTGAGGCCATGGTCAGTCTAACGCCCACTGCTGTGTGTATCTCCTGTGTTGACACTCTCCCACAGCCTAAGGCTTGGGGGCTCAGCCAGGAGGCCACCAGCCTGTCATTGTGGTTTGGCTGGCCAATGGGTGGAGGTGGAGGGAAAGGCAGAAAAGTGCAAATTCCAGTTGTCAGTGGATAATGTAGCTGCTCCAACACCCACCCCCCGCCCCCAAGCCCGCACTGACATGCAGAGGTGGTCACTCTGGGAGTTCAAGGTCTTTAGGGCCAGCAGGTGGAACAACCTTCCATCTAGGAGGTGGGGGTTGTGAGCAGCATCTAGCCCTACCACCAGACCCAGCCAAGGGAAACAAGATTCAGCCAGCAAGAGCCCAGGCCCAGGAGAGGTTTGGAGCTGAAATCATGGTGAGAAGCCAGACCCAAGGTGAGGCTACCGAACAGTCTTTAGGGCCTGCCAGCTGGTAGGGAAGGGCGCCAGTCACAAAGCCAGGATTGGTGGAGGGACAGTTGGGCTCAGAGACATGTGTGTCTTAATGGATATGCTAGGGGAGGCTGGGAAGCCCTCTTTTTACTCGATCTTTCCTTCCCCACTCCTCAGCAAAGCTTCTGGCAGACACTCAGCTATGGAATGGGCAGCGCTTATTTAACCTGTGTTGTTTTCTGTTGCATTGGGAAGAAAGGGGGTGCTTCTGAGTCCACAATACCCAAATAAGTCTAACACAGCTTCCCCTGCCAAGCAAAACAGGCTTGCTTCTTTGTAACCTCGTCCCCTTTCGCACCTTCTGGAGAAGATGGGAACTACCAGTGAGAGGACAGGGAAAAGGCACCCAAGGGCCAGCTGCCTCCATGCAAAGCCCTTCACATGACTGACCTCTTCTTTCTCTTCATTCATCTGCCAGAGGACGCTGCCCACCAGAGCCCCGACCTCAGTGGATGGTGAGCGTGGGAGAGACGTGGGGGTGGGCCTTGGAAGGCACTGACTCCGGCAGCCCTGTAACAATCCTCTGATTGAGAAACTCCGTCCTGTCCTCAGGGACGTCCTCCACACACTGCCATCCAGAGCAAGGAGAGCCAAGCTCTCCCAGCGAATCTGGCACTCTCCCGTCTTCTTCCCCTTCTTCGCTCTCCGAAACTGCTCTTAGCAATTGCTTCTGACTCTCCTGACAAGCCATTGGTCATCCCGAGCCTGGGAAACCGCTCATCACTGGAAGCTAACATCTAGTGCAAGAGGCTTTTGCCTTGGTCCCACTCCCCTGTCCCTCCGCCTGATTGTTAGGGTAATGCCCTTAGAGAGGAGGCTCCCTAGGCCTCCCCCACCCTCAGCCCAGCAGGGGAAGGAGCTGCTGTGGGGAGGGTCCAGGAGTACAAAGCAGGCTCAGCTGTGCATGAGGGGACCAGGAAGGGCCCCAGGAGACCAAGATCCTGTCCTGGAGGTTCCGAGATGTCATAAGGGATTGACCCATCAATGCATCCGTCTCATCTCTGGATGGGCATGTCCTTGGGGACTTAAGAGAAGTGAATGAGTCAAGAGACAAGGCAGGGGAGCTGGGTATTGAGTCAGGTACCACGCCAGGCTCTTTCAGGTCATCTCACTGAATCCTCGGGCTTGCCCTGAGGTGTATGCATTTCATCTTTGTTTCACAGCCAGGGAAACCAGGGCTCAGAGATATTAAGAAACCCACCTATGGTCACACTGCTAGAAAGGGCCAAGCTGGGGTCCAAATCCAGCTCTGGCTGACTCCAGAACCTAAGCTCTGTCCATTCCCCGAAACTAGCCCCTGAGGATAGAATGTCAGGAAGAACAATGGTGAGGGGTTCAGGTCTCTTTCTGGGGAAAGCTCTGGTATGTCACCAAAATTCATATCTTGAAGTTCTAACTCACCCGTTCCTCAGAATATGCAGAATATGATGCAAAGCCATGGTCTTTAAAGAAGTAGTTAAGTTAAAATTAAGACTTTAGGGTGGGCCCTAATCCAATATGACTGGTGCCCTGAGGAAATTAGGACACAGAAGAGAAGAAGGGCATTGAGGACACAGAGAGAAGGCCACAATCTACAAACCAAGGAGAGAGGCCTCAGGAGAAAGCACTCTTGCCAACCCATTGATCTCAGACTCTGGCCTCCAGAACTGTGAGACAAGACATTTCTGTTGTTTCATCCACTCAGTCTATGATCCTTTGCCATGGCAGCCTGAGCAAACTAAGACCAGTCCCCATTCACGGCCTTTGTTTTCTAGACTTTCTGCAGGAATTTCACACTGAGTTATCTTCAGAGTGGAGCCCCATCCAGGAGGCTGGCAGGGAGGCTGAGCAATTGCTGGTGTCCACAGAACCTCTTAACTAACCGTATACTTTGGCTACAAAACTCAGCACATGACATATGTCTTTGTCAACTATCTTTCCGTTGTGATGATCATGGCAACCACCACCTCCGCCTCCCCTCAAAGCAGGACCTGTAAGAGTGCAGGAGGGTGTCAGGTGGACAGATGCTGACCTCCCTGACTGCAGGCACAGCTGACCTTCAGGCACTGGCTGGGTGGGGGGCCAGGCACTTCCCCTGTGACCTAATTTGAGCAACTGCTTTTCTTCTGTAATGATCACAGGGAAACGAAAGATGCCTCACTCCCGGGCGCTCCCTGGTCCTCCCCATTCCCGCCTGTCAATCATCACTGCTGCCGCCCTTCCAAACTGATAAGGAACTGATGATGCATTGACGGCAAGAAAACCCAGACTGGAGGTGGAAGAAAATCAGTCTCTGAATTTTTTGAACATTTAATTTGAATACATCCTGTCACAAGTGAAGATGAGTTAACACTTCAACCAAAGAGAGTGTGGGGGAGGGAGAGAAAGCCCCTTTGAATTGCAAGGGCTGGGAGAGGAATAAAGTGGGTTTACAAAAATGAGCCAAGTATAGAGGGGGATGGTGGAAATAGATGTTTCAAGAACAAGGCCTTGGGGTTTTTGCTAAAATAGAGATGACTATTTAGGAATTGTTGGTTCTGGGCCCCTTCCTTCTATCAGAACATCCAGAAGTAAGGACTCTCGGGTTTCTAAAGGACTAGTTTATAGCCACTGTTGGTGGAATGGGACCTGCTCCTCATTCAAGCAAAGTTCTAGTTGAAATTCTGACACCTCTTTTTGCACTGCCGACCACCTGGTCAAGCTGTGATATGGCTGTGTATAAATGTTATACACAGATGTATGTGTATGTGTATGCATGTATATGTGTACATGCATTTATGTATGTAACACACACACACACACACACACACACACACACACACACACCACACATCTCTGCAGTTCAAGGCCTTGGGGAATCCCATTCAGGAAAGGGCCTTTACCAGAGCTGTCCCACAGGTGAGGTTTAACCCGTCTCCAACATTTCTCTTAATTCTTCTGTCCATTGGAAAAAAGTCACAAAAACAGGAGTCCTCATAAATAAGACCAAAAAAAAAAACACCCTACATTTTTAGCATTCTGTGGTTTATTATTCTTCAAACTTGATAACTTCCAAATGGAAATCCTGATCATTTTTAGAAACGATTTCTTCTGTGTTTTTCATGACCCTTAAACCAACCACAAACACCCCCAAAGCAGTCTGCTCTAGAATTGCATCTCTGACATATGTGTAAAATATGTATTGAACAGCAGGCGTTGTTTACTCTATTTTTATGCACATGTATAAAACACGAGAAGGACAAACCTCTGCCTGACTGACCTAAGATTCTAGACGAGAATACATTCTGACCACACTTCATTTCAAGCGTGAAAAATAGCCCTCCGAAAGGGAAAAATATATGCGGTGTTTATGCCTCAGGCCAGGAAGTGTACCCCTTCGCTTGGGTTCTGTTCTGAATAGTCATCTAGACACATCAGGGCCTTTCAGTGTGACCGCCCTTGTGAGTTTCAGTTGGGCGGAAGCAGTTAGTTTGGTCAGAAGTTCCCCGCAAAGAACATGAGGAGATGAGATCTGCGGGTTTGGGACAGGGCTGGAAAGCGCCTGGTGCTCCTGGACTGTGCACGGAGCAGAGGACGCCTCGGGGCAGTTGTGGGGGTGGGGGGCAGACTAGTCAGAGGCTGAGGCTCTGGATGGGTCTCTCCAAAGAAGGTAGCTGCAGCCCTGGGTACCAGCAGCAAACATCAAAACCACATAAAAGGAGCAGGAAACGGTGGCCAGAGGAGCCGGCAGCAGTGGTAGTGTGGTAGAGCAGGTAGTGTTTGCAACAACGTGAAGAGCACAGATGGAACAGAGGCTGGGGCGTGCAGGGTGGAGAGATGGGAGGGCTTGTGGTGTTTCTTCTGAGCACAGTCAGAACAATCAATAAATTAACAGATCTCCGTTCCAAGCTTTCTGTGCTCGACTCTGGCCTGAGGACTGTAGAAGTTTTGTCAAGATCCAAGAGCAGATCTTACCGTGTTGCTAGGCAGATAATATGAACAGGGGTTATAATGTGAATTATACAAGTATACAAGACGAGTGTGGATGGGAGAGTTGGAAGGGGTCGACCTCAGCGAACGTACCTCAATCAGATCGAGGACGTTTTTAGCAAAGGCCAGCTTAGGAGTACCCTAATTAAGTTAATAACAATGTACCTACCTATATAGTTTAAGTTTAAAAAATTTGGCTCTCAAAAGAAATTTCAATCGTTGTACTGTTGATATTTGGCTCTGTTGACTAATGAGTTTGCCGATCACTGGTCTAGGGGTTAGTAACATTCCCATTGAAAAGATGTGGAAAGTGGAGGTCAGAACTTAGCCAAAGTTCCCAGCTGCTAGATGGCAGAGCCCACATTGAAAACCACATTCGTCAGCCCCAAAGCATGTGTCCGTTTTCATTGCACCAAATGACACCCAGGTCTGGAGAGGACGCGGCTCAGACTCAGGGTGGCATCCAAAGGGGCCCTGAAAAAAAGGGCATTGGTGGCCTAGAGGACAGACCTCGTCACCTAGTTACTTGGTGGGGAGGTTCAAGACTGTGGCATAAAGGACACAGGGCACTGGGAGTTAGGGTTGGAGTGGGGGTGGGGAGAGAAATAGATTAAAAATAGAGTTGGCGGGGTGCTAATTAGTTAAGCCCTAATACATGGGATAAATAGCAGGATGTAATTAACCACTGCTTAAAGAGGACCCTAGGTATTCCCCTCCGAGAATAAATCGTGTGGATTGTTATGCTAATTCCTGTTCCTTCTGACGCTGGTAATCTGAGTATTCCATCCAGCTGGGAGAGGCTGTTCAGATCCTGACTTTAGAAAACCATTCTTTAACTGAAGTGAATTGATCAGTCTCACGCGGTGTCAAAGGCCTTGGGGTTTTTGCTAAAATAGTTGGAGATGACTATTTAGGAGTTGTTGGTTCTGGGCCCCTTCCTTCTGTCTACCAGAACATCCAGAAGTAAGGACTCTCGGGTTTCTAAAGGACTAGTTTATAGCCACTGTTGGTGGAATGGGACCTGCTCCTCATTCAAGCAAAGTTCTAGTTGAAATTCTGACACCTCTTTTTGCACTGCCGACCACCTGGTCAAGCTGTGATATGGCTGTAACGAGAATCAGAATATGCCATTCTGGCATATGGGTTATTTTGAACTAAAGGCAATTGGAAAAAGCAGACATAAAAAGAGCTCTCCGCCACCCTTCCCATCTGCCTAAAAGCAGGCCGTAACTGCCCGTGTGCAGGTGTCTCCTTCTGCACCACCAGGAAGAGAACAACCTTTATCACCAGAGGCAGTGATGGAACCAAGATGAGCCTGCACAAATAACCTTACTAAATAGCCCTTATCTACCATTAGTTTTCCCCATTTATTTCCTACTCACCTTCCCATAATTTATCAGCTCCAAGAAGCCCAAAGCCCCTTTCTCTTGTCTAGTCACTTCTTGACAATTTATTGTCCTTTGTTAAAATGGCGTGTAAGCCCCCGGGTCTAACTACTTCTTTGGGTTTTCATTTCTTTTCTGTGAAGTCCCTGTGCACCTGTAAAAAAAAAAAATTAACATCAATTAACATTGTTTGTTTTTCCTCCTGTTAACTTGTCTTTGTGAATTTAATTTGCAGGTCCCAGGTACAAACCTAAGGGGATAGAGAAAGATTATTTTCCTTCCCTACAGTTACGATGAGAATTAACCAACCATCACACAAGAAGAGCTCTCTGAGACTAAGATGTGGAGGTGAAGAACAGCTGAAACATCTGAAAGGCTCAGGTCATACTCTCCTCACACTTGTTAGGCAGGAAGGACTGTGTGCAGGAGTAGACAACAGTGGATAATGATGACCTGGGGCTGGGGTAGCAGGCAGGCAGCACCACAGGGGCTTCCTATACATTTGTTTTACGGTTTCATCAATGAAGAAATAATGCCCCAAAGCCCAAGATTTTCTTTGATCATCTTAATTTTGGGTTGTTTCATTGCTTTCAATAACAGTTCTGGAATATGCATGAACAATGTGATTTAATGTTTACTTCTCAATGAGAATTTTTATTTAATAAGTTCACAAGTCCAAAATTCTTTTCTGACCTCATACTCCAACACATTTGGAAAATATGTTTATTGCCGTGTCCTTGGAACAATGATTTAGACATTTTGTTGTCCTGAAAAAAACAAAATAATTACATTATTTTTTTTTCTAGCTTGACAAATGGTAAAATTAAGGTAGAGAACAGTTGACCTGCTTAAGGAGACAATGAAAGTTATAGAATTGGGCCCACACCTCGGTCATCTTGCATCTAGGTCAGCTCACAGCTCATGGTCCATGGCATAGATTTTCTACAGCCTTTGCATCATCTTGGCTCCCTTGCAGCTTCAGACCAATTGTTCATCTATTTTTAGCAGGCAAAACCACTGGGGAAGAAAGAAGCTAACAAATGAAAGGAAAAGATATAAGGCACAAGGGCAGAATGAATATCAGAGGTGGGATAAAAGTTAAAAAAAAAAAGTACCCTAAAAAAAAATCCAGGATAACATGTAAGTAGATGAGATGCATTTTATGCACAATGGAATTTTTCTTTCATTTCCCTAATCCCACAACATCGTTCAATTTTTTTCTTGACTGAATTCCCCTCACATTTTGTTTGTTCTTCCCCAAGGACATTTATTAGATCCTGCCTCCCATAACATACCGTGACAATCACACCCGGACAAGACCAACTAGATTATAAACTATTTGAGGGCATAGACCAATTTCTTCCCCCCATTGAATTTAACATGTTTGTTGGATAACCAGGAAAGTATGCACAGCTAGAGTGATTAACAACAACAAAACTGCTGGGTCCATTTTTTATCTTCTATTTGGAAAAGCATTTGTTTCCAAGATTTGATTTTGAAAAGCTGAAGAACTGGCGTGGGACATTACCGCTTGCTTGACTAAACAGATAAATAAAAACCACCAATTTTGCTCTCCGTGAGCACAGGAGGGACAGAAAGAGGAGTTTGAGCCTGTGCTTTGTGTTGTGGCATTTGCTTTGCTCTCCGTGAGCACAGGAGGGACAGAAAGAGAGAGGAGTTTGAGCCTGTGCTTTGTGTTGTGGCATTTGAGTGCGCCTGGCTGGGGGAGGGAGGGGGGAAGGCTGCTGAAGCTTGGCTTGGGGTTGACAGGGGGCTCTCCTGCTCAGATCACACCGTGTTGGCAACAGACCAGACATGAGGAACCCACAGGACCTCTCTTACCTTTGTCACCTTCATTAATTCAATAATGATTTTTCAGGCAAGTTTCATTCAGGCACTTTGGGACAGGGCAGTGAGTCAGAGGTTGGCATTAAAACCAGAATAGAAGCCATAGTCCTCCCTGGGGAGCGTCCTCTGGGCTTTAAATTCCCAGATCACACAACTTCCTAATTGGTAAGAAATGTTCTTAAACAAGAACATAGGTTTCACCAGGCCTGACGGTGACTCATCAGGTGCTCCAAGGACTGTCTGATGAAAAAGAAGTTGGATTCACATGTCACAGTAAATTTCTAAAGCATTTTCCACCCGGAGGTTTATTGCTAAATATAAATAAAATATCTCTCCTTGGGCAATCCCATTCCAACTCCAGCAGATATGCCTTCGTTAATTAAATTAACTTTGAAATGACATTCAAACAATGTTTTCCTTCCAAATGCCTTTGTTTTCTCCAAGATCTTATTGTCAAGCTGTTTCACAAGTTCCTGTGTCCACCGATTAAGCGCCCCACCCCCAGCCCGCATACTAATTGAGACGTTTTATCCTCTCTGTGTTCGGTAGGTATAGAGCAGTCCCCACATTGTATTCATTTAACTGTGTTCCCAAAGGCCCACACATTTACAATACCAAAAATTAAAAAAAAAATGATCCAGGGTGCTTAAAAAGGATCCGGATAAACGCAAAATTTAAATCTCATTTACTGAAACGCACACAACTGACAGAAAATTCCTGAGTTGAGGAGAGAGGGTTTTTTTTTGTTTTTTGTTTTTTAAGTAGTCTCTTTCCAAAATCAGGCATTCGCGTCCTTATTACAGGGACTCTCGGCTTAAATCCTTTCAGTCCGAAGCTGAACCCCCCTCCCTCCCCCCCCGCCCCGGGCGCGGGCGTGCAGGCGCGGGCACGCACACGTGGACACACAATCACTCGCACGCGCCCTCCCACACCCCCTTCCCTGCGAATCTCCCGCGGGATTTACAGGTTTCGCCACCGCGGATTACTGTCAGGTGCAGAAAGCAAGCCTTTGTTCCGTGAGCATCCTGCCCCCCACCCCCCGGATTTGACTTATTTACTTGCCACGTGAGCTCTGAGCGGGGGCCGGTCCGGCGGGGGGGCCACCCCAGCGCAGGGGAGACAAAGGCTGGAAGCGCGCGGCCAGTGCGGCCCGGGGACGTCCCCCCAGCTTCGGCGACACGTGCGAAATTGGCCTGACCTGCCTGCGACTGAGCGGCTCTGGCACCAGACGTTCTGTGCCAGCCCGCGGGAAGGCGTCGGTGTTCCCTTGCGCGGGGAGAGGGCCCGGCCGGGGCCAGAGGATCCCTGGATGGTCGGGGCAGGGGGGACTCCGTAGAGAGGCGCGCTCCCAGGGTACCAGGTAGAGCGAGGCTTTTAGACGGAGCCTCGCAGCCACCGCGGTCTAAGAGAGACCGACAGTGGCCCCCTTTGTCCTCGGGAGGGAGAACGACCCCCTCCATCCCCGAGAGGCCAAGCCCGGAGAGCCTTGGACCGCTCACCTCACACAGTGCCCGGCGTGAGCGACGCGCCTCGGGCGCAGAAGTTAAGGGCACCAAAAAGTCAGTGGTCAAAATACGTATCCTAATGCAATGCTTTCTGAAGCGATTAAAATTAATGCCCCAAAAGTATGTTGAACAAAATACTAAATTCTAAATAGAGACAGGATCAGTGCAGTGCCCTGCTGAGCCAGTTTGTAGCCGTAGGTCAAGGGAAGGTTCCCGGGGTGTCGGGAGATTCGTGGCGCAGGGGGAGAGGAGCGCGGGCCACAGGCGTCGGAAGTGGAGGCCCCCTGAGAGCCGGGTAGGGGAGTGGCGGGGTGGCCCCGGGGCCAGAGGTGAGAGATCATGAGGGGAACAAAGGTGGGGCGGAAGGCCAGTCAGGGGTGGGAGAAACTGGAAGGGTGCCGTCCTTCGATGCCGGGGTCGGGCTTCCACTTGGACCTGGAGTGTAAGGCTCCGCGCCGCCAGCGAGTCCTGCAGGGTTCCCGCTCGCTGGTTAATTCTCACTAACAAGACTTGGCAAGATGTCGGGCGAATAATTTTGGGCTTTTGTTGTGTCCGCATCGCGACGCACACAAGCCCCCTGACAAAAGCGGCTTCTGGGAAATTAAATGCATAAGTAAAAAACGGGGGAGGGGGGGGAGGGCAGCGGGAAAAAATGCTACCTGACCCGGAAAGGGGACGCTGAGACCTGAGTCTGCCCCAGAGCTTATTAAACCCTTGACGGTAAATTTCTCAGGGTCTAGCTTCGCACCAGATGTGGGCCCTTATTGTTATTTCCCGAGAAGACAATCTGCACATGTGCAATATGGGGTGAGGACTTTTCCAAAAGTCACATAAATAAATAAATGAATAAATAAATATCGGATTTTTTTTTTTTTTTTGGTCTACTAGGGTTAAACAAACATCTTTAGGAAGCGTGGACGGGAGTGGCACCCTGCCTTCCTCCAGAGGAGCAACGTTCCGGCAATGAATGCCTCCCTCCGGATCGTAAAGCAACTGCCCCAACACCCCGCTCCCATTACTGGACTTCGGGACGGGAGGGCTTTTCCTTTCATCTTCTAAGTTGGGGCTTGCCCACGTCCTCGGGAAGCTATAAAGCTGATTTAATGGCTCAAGATGAAAATCGATCACGCTAATGCATAAGCTAACGTCAGAGGAATCGCACTTGAAAAAAACGGCTAGCCGGGCCCAACGCACTCGGTAAATGTGGGGCGAGGAGGTTCCAGGCCCTGTCGGGTGGACGGCGGCATCAGGGTCCCCACTCTGCTTGGATGCGGGGAAGGAGACTA